TCAAAGATCACCCACATATACCTATATGTGCTTAATCAGCATTAAATTGTAAACAAACCTAAGCATGTCCGTCAGTTTGTCTGTGATAAACATATCCGTCAACATAGTAGAACAACAAGTAGAACTGAGGGCGCCTCTGTTTTTAAAAAGGAAAAAAACTCGCTTTTACTCACATAATACAAACGACACAACGAAAGGATCTAATGCCGATCCTACGGTATTCCTATATACATGAAAAATGTAATCAGTTATACTTTGTTAGTTGATTTAAGGGAAAAGTCATAGTCATATAGAACACTCGGCCACTACGGAAAAGATAATACTGCATAAGGGGAAAACATCATAAGCGAGAGTAGTTGACTGACCTTCAATTTTTCATTATCTGTCCAAGTTAGACTTACACTTAATACAAGATCGTATGTGAATGAGGCACAGTCGATTGATATGGTTTTTAGTCAAGCTGTGTTGCTCATGTGGAAACAATAATTCCAAATATTTCGGACAGTTAGTTGATCAAGTAGCCCTAGTTTGCTTATTACCCGTAAGTAGGTTCGTCGGTCTCTCTTAATTTTTTTTATGTTTCATTTACTACATTTACCTCTTCGCCGATGATGTTTTACAATTTTTTGTGTGTGTGCGCCGTCGCTTGTGAAACGTTAAGCTGTTCAGCTGTTTTCATGGCAGACGCACCAACTCTCAAAGTCTGAGCGATCCTACAATTCATCGGTCGATCCCAGAAAAAAAGCGCATAAGCGTATCTAAAAGACTTGACCCGCATTGCGTTCATATTATTTTATCGATCTCCCTGAATATATGTTATATTTTTATAATTAGGCAGAGTAAAACTGCCTAACATAAGAAAGGTATTTTTATTGCCAGGCGGTATTTGGTGTTATGTATGCTGACATTTCTCTCTATAATTTTCATCCAGGTAGCTTTATCTATTGTTTGTTGTGTCAGTGAAATTTCCGAAAAAGAAAAATGCAAACAGAAATTTCGTAAATTCAGTCTACAGTCATACCACGAAAATGGCAGAAAGTGTTTATGTACTTGAATGAAATACGCTTTCAATAAAGAAGAAATTTAATGTAAAAAAAATGACAAACGGTCAATAAATGTTTTTTCTCACCTCTCCGTTTTTAGGTAAAACTAGGAAAAGATGTTCAAAAATTCACACTCCTAGCCGTATGTAGCCGTATATTCATTCTTTTTAATGCAGAAATTAACGACAACTTCGCCTGTAAACAGGAACAAGAAAAACAAAAAAAAAAAAAAAAAAAAAAAACAATCGATCTTAAAGGATATATGATCGAGATTAGTTTATGATGCAAAAAGAAAAACTTAATTAATGATTGCCTGCAATGATTCAAGAAAAACTGTTTGATTATAAATCACTTGGAAGTTTATTTAACGTAGAAAGTACTCCTAGCCTTCTTAAGCTTGATAGAAATAACAGGAAATGACATCAGTTTCGCTTAAGCATTCCAAATCCATTAAATATTCAAAATATTCATTAAAAATGATATATGCTTAAGCCATTGTCATTTATTAAAAAACGAATTAAATATAATTTGAGACAAGTGAAGAGAACTATGTTCGCCTTAAGACGATTCATGGATACCCAGCCTCGTATGTTAAATATGATGTATGAAAACTCTTTCATTGCTCATCAATTGTAGGTGTGAGAACACTTTTGCACAACTATCTTATCTAACTGTGATGTATAAATATTGGGCGATTCTCACTTCTATATCTATATCGGCACAGAATGGATAGAATGCCATATTAGAGATCTTATTATGTGAATTTTGTCTTTGCGCCCGTCTGCGTATTGGATAACGATGTTATGTGCACGCTTCCGGTTAGAGAACTGCAGCATGGCGTGCTCACCGCTTCACCGCATCACCTGATTTTCGAAGGCTATCTAAAAATTTTAGTAAAAATGGGCTTAGGCGGATTTAAAAGTTTCTGTGGAACGTTCATCTGAAAGCCAGCTAGAAGGTAAGCGTAGAAGTACCTAATCTTTTACGATTAGTGTGAACTTCCCCGTTAGCGCTAGTTCGCCTAATTTTAAAACTTACTTTGTAGTAATCCATTAGAAGTGATTTTTTTTTCTTCTTTGAACTTTGATCTTTTCAAAAACTAACGGAAGTAATAATATGAAAGGAGTTATTTTCATTTTCGAAAATACGTAATACATGCGTATTTGGAAAGTGTTTTTAACTTGTGAACAATGCGGTCAATATTTTCGGGAATATTGTAGCTACTACGCCTTTGAAAAATCTACAATTGTAAAAAAATTTTAAATTTTTAAATATTTTAGAAGCAACACTGCTTTGATCGTTTAAACGGAATAAACTGCAGTTTCCGGTGTACTTTTGACACGGTCTAGGAAGCAGAAAAAAAATAAAATAGAAAGCCATTGGAGAATTAAATAAAAATGAAGAGTAATATAAGAAAAGCGAAAAAAATAAAACAAGTAAGAAAATTATATTTGGCCGGGACCGAATCTTTTATACCCGTCGCCGTTATTCTACCCATACTTAGCGATACTTGGAATTTGATGTTGATCAAGAAAATATATATTTTATAAACTCGCTGTGACTGCGGTCTGCGTTTTGCCAACGTTTGGACCAAGTCAATACACCTCTCATTCTTTAGTGATGGATATAAAAAAGAAAAAGTAACGAATATGAAAACGCTTTAAAACCTCACCTTAAAACGCGTCTTGTATACCCTCGCTTCACTCGCGTTTTCTTAACTATGCTTGGCAGAGAGCTGGCAGGGAGCTTACGACTAAAACCGATATCGTCATTTTTACGACCAGGAAGCCAGACAGATGGACGGATAGATGCTCTAGCTTAAGTGGGCTTAGAATTTGATGTTGATCAGGATACCCTATAGACTCACTGCGACTATGATCTGCGTGTTGCAAACGTTTTCACAAAATGAATGTAACAGTCACTGATGGATCCAAAAAAGACAGAATAATAAATTTATTCGTCATAAAACGCCTCTTGTATACCATCGCTTCACTCGCGTTACCTTGGCAGAGAGCTGGCAGGGAGCTATTAGCGGAAGCGGATAAATTTTGGATTGTATCTCAAAGATGGTTCAATTCACAGGTATTTTCAAATTTGATATCTAAACTCCTTTAGAAAATTATTTGGAAATTTTTTTAATTTTCAACAGATCGCAAGAGCATCTGTAAAAGTAGATTTCGGGCATGAGAAATACGCCTTCCCTTTGGTAAGACGCGATTAAAAAATTTGTATAAAAATCTTATCAGATAGTAAGGTAAGCAGCATTAAAAGCCAATAAACTGCTGCAGTTATAGGTTAAGTGTCGCAAACGAAATTTCAAAATTAATATACCCATGTCATGCTACGTTGAATATAATAATGAAAGCTGACAAAAAATAGATTGTCATCATGTCTGGCATGGAGCGTAAGCAATCAAATAACTCACTAACTAACAATTGCGGGGGGGGGGGCCCCCCCCTCGAGGATGATTATATCGGACAGGATTGTGTACAGTTGAAGTAAATTTCGCGTTAAAACATTTTATCATAGTTTGTAATGCTCGTTCTACTGCTGCATTTAAATTTGCTTTAATCAAATTTTTGGCTGTGAAATAGTAAAAAGTAAACAAATATAAAACAAAAAAAAAAACATATGACGACAGATTTGACCAAATTTAAAAAGAAAACCCGCCAAGAGATTAAGATGAAGAATTTAATTTTATAAAACATTCATATTTCTAGCATCCAGTACGCCTTCTCTTTCAACTTTAAGCATAAAACTTGCCTTAGATGCAAAGCATCTTTGAGCAAAGCAGGTGAGTGCAGTTTATTACTCCATTAAAATTTTATTGTAAAGTGTGACTTTTGACTAAGGAAGTCAAGTCGCGCTAGCTTTGCAAAGAAATTGTAAACATTTCTTGGCAAATAATAGGCAAGTAGTCAAGTACCAATTGGATCTAAACTTGTTATATCCTTAGCTAGTGCCGTCTTTCTTTATTTTATTATTTTCTTTTTTTTTTTTTATTTTGCGTTTTAAAAGCTCCTTGTTAGAAACAGGACGCGTTCGACGCACTATTTATAGAGAAAATGTAGGGCCATTGTTAGGAAAAATGAGAGATGTATACTCACTTAAATTAAGATTAAGACGGAAAATGGACTGAAACCCGCCCAATGATAGGCTGACTTAAATCAGAGATACGAGCAACAAGCAAAGATTAATAGATTAACTGCAAGTTAATTAGCAAGTCAATGGTCGTGAGTTCGAATCTCAAGTGCGGTAGAGTTTTTAATAAAAGCCAAAAGCCTTAGATGCTAGTGCTTTTAAGAGTTTAGTCTTAGAATTTATTTCTTTGGCGAAATTAATAATAATAATAATAATGATAATAATACTTTATGAAAACAGTTGGTTTCCTTCCGGAAGCCCAATCAAATGTGAGCCATGTGTCAGCCATTAAATAAGTTTTAGACGATGCAATGTCTGTCTGCGAATGCCTGGCCGAGAGACATCATCGTACTCGGCCATTAAAAGGATGTGGTGTGTGTGTGCGTGTATTGTCATTAGTGCATTCGCCTCAATTGATTGCAAGTCTGCTTATAATGGAAACTTGGTGAAGAGATTTGTGTTTTCGCGGATAACTAACATTTCACGTCGTTTAAGATTCTATGGCCGTGAAACGTGTCGAGCTGCCTGTCAATCAATGTCTCTGTCTCCCCTCATTCAAGTTTTTACGTCAAAAAAATAAAATAAAATGTTAATATAATAATCCATGAAGCTATCAAAAAAGTAATAAATAAGTTCGTATCAATTTTTTGGCATAATAAACTCAATTCTCTTATTTGGAAGAAAGTTTTAAATCAGCAAAACTGAAATCGACGCAGTATTTAGTGATATCATAAGGACGCAACACGGTTCATCATTTTGCCCCCGAGACTTATTCAGGTATTTATTGTCACTATTGATATTATATTATGTGCTTACCTTGGACTTTTGGCCAAATTGTATAGAACGACTATCGTTGGTTGTGTATGTGTGCATTAGTTTGGCGCCATCCTCCCACGGTGGCTTGTTGTAAATACCATCGACATCCGACATAAGGATAAGCAAATCTGCTTGCACTTCGGCGGACAACATGGCAGACAAACTGTCGTTATCTTTGATGGGAATTCCCTGAAAAGAACCATCACACAAACGGCTATAAAAGAAAAACACGTATATATCTGTTTATGAAGGTAAAGAGATTTTCTTCTCCGTTGAATTTAAAGGAGTTACAATCTCTCTGCGATGCGCATACAATCTAATAAGGTCGCTCTGCAAGCTTTTTTCTTCATTTTTTTTCTTCTTCTTAATATTATTACCTTTTTCGTTCCCGGTGGTATATCGTCATCTTTTAGAAACATTGGTGGCGAGACGGCATCGTTTGTATTTATAATTGGCACAATATTCAGACTAATTAACTCAGATAGTGTGGCGAACAAATTGGTACGCGTCTCTTCGTTATAGAAATCCGGCTTTGTTACCAACACCTAAACCGTAAACATGCAAACGTTAAATATAGCGTAAACCAGTAACATTATGCACTAATGAATTGCGCTTAAGTTAAACAAAAAAAAAAAAAACAATTTTTTTTCTTCTTTACCTGAGCAATTTTCACACCATACTGCGCAAACATGGCATCGTACAGTGACATAAGGCCCGATTGACCAACAGCAGCTGCTGCTCTTGGATCTAATAGAAAACTTTCCTCCTGTATGCAGTAAGAGAAATATTAAGGGTTTTTTTTTTTTTACTTTTACTTGAAATTTCACGTTGAACATGCCTCTTTCGAGTGATCCTTAGGCGCGAGGGTCTCACGCATAGACAATGACATTAACAATTCTTGAGCTAACTTTTGCTTACCAAAAGCAACAGCACCACTTGTAACCATCATAACCTCACGACCCTCCAAATGACACTCGGCAACCTAAGATCAATAATGTTTTATAAAAATCGAAAATTTCAGAAATAAGAAATGAGAAGGTTTTGAACGATGGTTATATGGCATGCAAGAGAGCAAATGTAAATTTTATTTTCTAATTTCCACATGTGATCAATAAGTTCATCAAGAAAACATTTTTTAATATTTTGCGAGATTAAGCTTGAGATTAAGCTAAGATAGAGAGAAAGTCTTTCATGATCCGTTATCGTTTAGATGACCAACAGAAGTCGATTTAAAGTGTAACACAACCTCCTCTCGTTTTAACCATTTCTCTAAACTTTGATAGCCATTGCTAGCAGAAAGAAGCATAGGCTCATAGGCTCTCTTTTATAATCCGTTATGACTACGTCATCAAATATCAAGCAAAATTGGAATTAATTAGTCAATATTGAAATTTGAGGGACTCCATTAAAGACTTTATTCGGTCTAGACGATCAGAAGAAAGTGTAGCTCGCTTCAAACATTAAAGAGCGAAATTTAGTTCACTATTGAAAGCATTGAAAAAGTTCTCGCTTATCGCGGAACTCTTTACAAGGTGAGTGGGAGGGTTACGCCTGGTTTCCAGTCAGAATGATGAGCATGTACACGAACTTCGCATCGATCGTCGAATCGAGCGAGACACCATCTGCTGCTGGTAACGGAAAGACCGAAGGAGCTGATAGTCTTCTTCTCGAAATCTATCTATAAAAAAAAGTTTTTATATTTTTCCTTAAATTATTTTGTTGTGGTTTTTTATTTAATCATTTTTTCATTTATTCTTGATTTTCTTTCAATGCATATTTAAATGATTTTTGAAATCTGCATTTCTTTACACTTAAGTCAATCTACAAAATGAGAAATGTTTGTATTGATAAATAAATTAAAGTTGTTTTGTACATTGAAATAAATATTCTTTCATAGCAAACATTTAAGATAAGAACTTTGAGGTAATCATTTCATTTGTTAGAGCAATGAATATACTGTGTATACTTTGAATGCGACTGATAACATTCACTAACCTGCTCAACAATGGATGCTAAACGTCCAAGGGCAAGGCCATGATTATCTTCTCGCGTGATAACTGCGCTACCCAGCTTTACAACTAGACGGCGAGCATATTTCAATTGACTTCTCTCTGAAAACGTTGGTTTACGTTCAGTTTGACGTTTCTCAGGTGTTGAAGCCTAAAAAGAGGAGATAAAATAATTTAAAATACAATCATTTCACTTTCAAATATTTATCCATTAGTGATGTAAATTCTGCTTCGAAAACGAAATAAAAGATGAAACATATTTTCTTCACCAATCAGGTGCTCGGAAATCCAACTTTTCGCAACTCTTCAATTTTCTTAAGTAACTTTTGGCGATCGAACAATCGTCCCATACTGCGGCCATAGCAGCAATAGTATACAAGTCGTGCAATTGTTCGCCAGAGATTTGTAGAAGGATACAAGAAAACCAACGTAACGCATCAAACCCTTCTCCATTGCGACAAGGAGAACTCTCACGTATCAACGCAACTAATTCATTTTTTCATTTCCGTTTAATTGAAATCCGTTAGCCGGGAATTAGGCATTAGATTGGCGTGAAAGTGAATTGAAATGGAAATGTCATTATCGCCCAGGCCGGCGATCTTTTGCCAGACTGAAATCTTCGGAGTAAAATTTGGCATATGACATATTCTACCTATTTGCCTTGACCTGACAAGTACAATTACGTCGTAGTAGTGAAATACGCCAACCTATTAACATTACACAAAACGCAAAGCTATTGACAGCTATGGCTTTCTGAACAGCGAAAAGCGGAGGACGATTTGAACAACAATGAAAATTCAAACTAGTCTAGAGTAGGAAACTATTGTGGATGAAATGCAGCAACCTATCCCCTCTCCAATCATGTTATGTGCTCGTGTTTCGCTCATCCACGCCATCTAATTTTTATAGTTCAAATGCGAGTCGGTCATAACACGGCAGATCGTAGACGGTGTCTTATGCCTGGCATTTAAAGAAAGCTTCGTTACTGTGTGCACTGAAGTCGGGACAGGCTCGAAGCCTTTACAAGCTATCAAAACGAAAGATATCTTATACATGTGGGAGGTAGGACGAGGACATGTAATTTGTCTATGTGGATGGATTAACTGTGACGTTACGGCTCGAAGGTTACACAACTAAATTCTAAGCGTTACACTGCACTCTAACGAAAATTACTGTAATAAAGTAAAAACTAATTAAGTTAAACATAATTAGCATTTAAAGGTGCGGGAATGTTGGCTCACGTGCATATGTTTGTCGGCTGGCATTTCATAATGCAGACATGCATATTTGCACAATGAAATTCGTGAAGGCAACGCTCGATTAGTGAAAACTGTGCATTTACATGTTGCACGTGGAAAATATCGTAAACGACAATGAGAACGTACTCCGTTGCCCTGATCAATATATCCCCAAAAAAGGGAGATTTTAATGAACATTTATCGGCGATGCGACCCAGACCGGAGATAATCTTGATAACGCTCAGTTAAATATTTCGATAAATCTCATATTTGACATTTAGTCGATATTTACGACGAGTTTACGTAGAGCCTCAATATTTTTATGGATTTTTTTTTTTTTGTAATGATATGTTTGCGTGTGTTGCGTGAACAGTTGAAATGAACTGAACGCAAAATAATATATATAAAATTAGTGTTAAGGGTGTTCGCTCATTGCTTCACTAAAAATAGTTGACACGCCATGCGAAATGAAATGCAACATAAATGAGATATTTTCATGTATTTATAATTGAAAATCATTTTAAATAAATAAGTGTTTGCCATCATTTCAATATTTTAAAAGAGTCCAAGTTTTTTTTTTTTTTTTTTTGCATTGCGAAACTGATGAAATTTTGATAAAAGCATTCAATTTCATAACACAAATGCATGCGACAAGTGGTTACGGACAATGAATGGTTAGATGAGTGGGCGGATATGAAAGGTATTAATTAAAATACCGGAGTAAATTGCATCCAGTTGTTCATAAATGAGGTTGAAAATTTATTTTTTTACTGTTAAATGTACACAATTGCAAAAGCTTTTAATCATTTGCAGTTAAGCTATTTATTTTAATGTATTTTCATACCCACTGCGATATAGCACGCGGACCGCAGACTAGCTATTCAACCAATCATTAAAATTGTTCACAGAAAACAATCTATATTGCGATAGGACATACAGGCAGAAATGTAGGAACACTTAAACGTAATATATGTATGTTTCGAGAGCGCATATATTACGCATACATCGTCTATCAATTATAGAAGGCCGGGAACAAAACTAAGGAAAGATTCTTAAACCAATGCCAAAGTTTTCAATGTTGCCTACTCGCGTAGGATTCTTAATTAGATCGCTGATCTTTAGACATTACGCGTAGCCATCGGTACGTATTGCCATCTGTTTAAGAAAAGAAAGAAAAATTATCGATATCTGAAAAGTCTACGAAACAACAAGATCAAGGCAAATAGCATAGTAGGGAACTATGAGGTCATAAACGCCGTTAATAGTCGACAATGGAATTTAACCTTCGACTCTACAAATTGCCATTCGTAATTCGTCGTGTATTCTCCAACACATAACAAAAATAATTAATGCCATACTTTAATTATTTATTAGATTTATTAGATTACAACATACCTAAGCCTTAATAAATCGCTTATCGTTTTCTGCTTTAACTATTTTAAGCCTACTTAAATTGTCTCTAACACATTACTAAATCAGTTGGCAGTCAAAGAACGTTACAACTCGATTGAATTCAAACATATTAACCTAGAAATTCGCAAAAGCCAAAAATGAACGCTCAAACTTTAGAAAGGATTAATAGTCTAACATAAATATACTAACAAAATAGCGTCACTAACAGATATGCGAATAACTTTGTAATTAACAACCAACTATCAATTACAAAGTCGTCCATAAAAATATATGCATCTATGTGGTGTACTCGATATATATACAACCAGCTACAAGCTGACGACGGGGTTTCCCAATGATTTGAACCAGCCATCAAAAACTCAATTCGCTTGTTACTTATTGATTATTATTATCGCAAAAGAAGAAGCAAAGCAAAAGAAAGAATAAATAAATAAATGAAGTGAGCGCATTTTTTTCTTAGCTTAACCTATTTGAGAAAAATTTAATCTGAAATATTATCCAAATATTAACCAAATATACCAAAACGTTGCTCTTCATGTTCCTTTGTCTTCATGTATATAGGAAAGACAAAGCATAATAAATCCTATGCTCTTAGCAAAATATAAAAAAAAAAAAAAAAAAAGAAAAGAGTGAAAAGCAAAATTGTCTTCTCGCATAAGACAAAGTTCCAAGTAAATACAATTATGGATTAGCTAAAAACAAATGACAGCTTTTCTCGCTTAATTTTCTTTCGCTTTTTTTCGTTGAGCCGCTTAATTGTTGGGATGATAAGAAAATAATACCGCTGCTTAGCAATCTTTAAGAAAATGCTTCAGTTGCATCTCTTATTTACTCGATAGGTATTCGTATTTTTTTGAAATTTTCGGATCAAAAGTAAAAATTTTCGTATACAAATGCAATGCATTTCTAATAACACATACACTGCGGGAAACTCTACTTTGAAAAACTACTATTCGAAAACTAAAAATAACCCAGCAGACATAGAAGCAATAATGTCTTCATTCGTTAAGATTATTTTAACAACAGCTATTTTGAAACAGCCTTACGTGTGCGTTTATGCAGTGATTTCATCGTATCATTTCACTTGAAAGCATTGATATTGACACAGCACTCAAATTGTTGCGTTGATTGAATCGTTTCGGCCAAAAGGTATGACATGTAAATATATGATCACTGAAGGAAAATTAAATAAAACTGTTTTGTCCAATTGAGAAATAAGCGACTTATACCTTTACAATGTCGCCGAGATGATATGCTTTCTACATTTCGATTTCTCGTTCATATTTCTCTCTCTCTCTCTCTCGCTCCCTCTCTCGATGAGCAGTTCAAGGAATTTATTACTCACTGAAGTGAAAGCATTAGGCTACGAAAGTGGATATGTTCTCTCTCTGTGTATTAAGTTAGTTCCCTTATATTATGCAATAATCTAGTTAACAGGATATGTTCAAACAGATCCTCACATAAATTATTCAAAGTGAACTTGAGACGTGTTATTAATCATAATTGTTATATTTCATGTTCTCGTATCTTCGATTATAGTAACAAAATGAAAGCAAAGTATTTATCTACAGTATGAGTGTAATGGAATTACACTGTACGTATAGTGTATTTATAAAAGTGATTGAAAAACGCTTGCTGGGATTATCGTTGCATTTTTGTCTTGTAATATTCTGTGATAGTAAACAAATGCATTGTAGCAGTAAATCGCGGTCGAGCGCACATACACTCTTACAGTCAATAAACAACCCACTTTTAACACGCGCACAAACATAATAAAAGGGAATAAAATTATTTTTCAAAATTGTTCAGACAGCCACCATCACCATCGCCATCACCAACACAATCACCATCACAATCAGCAGCACCACCGTTGCCAGCACACATTTCAAGTGATCAAATCCTATCTAGGTTTATATGAAAAGAATGGACATCATGTCAAATGACAAACATTATTTACATTTATATATGTATACAAGTGTTGACTGAAGAGGTTGAGTATATAGCAACAACACTAATAAACGAAACGCTAGAGAGATTGTAAATAAACATACAAAATAAATAAACATAAATAGAAATAACTGTTATCAGTTACTCGCATATGAATATGTCTTCTAATTGCATATGTGTTTATACACTATCTCACATACATACATTTAAATATGTATAGCAAAAACATGTGTTACTATTTGCCGTATATATACGCATATATATATATATATATATATATATATGTGCATGCATGCAAACATATTTAACGTAATCTCAACACTCTCTAGATTTTATTTATTTTATTTTACACTCAACTTTTGTTATTATTATTGTTATGGCTGTTATTGCAGTTCTGTGTTACCGTCATAGTTGAATTTTAAGTGAACTAATATAGTTTTTTTTCTTCTTCTTCTTCTTCTTTCCTATTTTTACATTCACAAGCTATTCCGACCGACTGACCGGCCGACAGCCAAAATTATCAAATTTTTTGTCTTCACGTTGATAAGTGTAT